TTGAGATGGAGTTTCGCTCTTGTCACCCAGGCTGGAGTGCAATGGCGCGATCTCGGCTCACTGCAACCTCCGCCTCCTAGGTTCAGGCAATTCTCCTGCCTCAACCTCCTGAGTAGCTGGGATTACAAGCATGCGCCACCATGCCCAGGTGATTTTTTTTGTATTTTTAGTAGAGACGGGGTTTCACCATGTTGACCAGGATGGTCTCGATCTCTTGACCTCGTGATCCACCTGCCTTGGCCTCCCAAAGAGCTGGGATTACAGGTGTGAGCCACCGCGCCCGGCCCCCATATGGAATTTTATGCCTTTTGCTTGTCTTCGAAGAAGGCCCCAGGTAACAGGCATGACCTCATGGCTGATCCAGAGATGTAGAAAAGCAAATTGAGACTTTGTTTGATTAGTTTGGGAAGCAGTTATTAAGGATTGATTCTCCCTGTTGTGGTTAAAGCTGTCTCCCAAGAAAGAAGCCAAAGGAATATTAAGCCAAGAATCTGAAGGGTAAAGCCAAACCACTGGGAAGGGCTTTCTACTGCAAACTACAATGTGATTGAATTAGAAAGGAACATTCAAATCATGTCATGTTGTCACCTCAAATTCAACAAGTCTAAAATTGAACTCATCTTTCCCCAAAAGCAGCTCCTTAACTGAACTTTCCTAATAACAGGAAGATACTGCAGTGTAGAATGCTTTGTCATGACATACCTATTATTTCATTTGATTGTCACACACAAGAATATTTAACTCAGGTTAATCAAAGGGCTGTAAATTAGTAAGAGACCAGTTCTAAAACCCAAGTTTTCTGAATCATGATCATCCATTATCAACTATATCCCACTGCCCCCTCTATATTTGTAGAACAAACTAGCCCATTTTATAGAATTAGTGACACTTTATTTGTATTGGCTTTTGAGGATTGCACATAAGCAGATTTTTGTAAATATGAAGTCAGATTTTTTCAAGTAGCAAAGAAGAAACCAACCAACCTTTGGAATCGTTAATCCTGTTTTTTGTGAGATACTTCAGTGAAAAACATTCGTAACATTCTTATTATTGAAGTCAAAAGATGACACAGATGAAAGAAAGTACTGAGTCTAAGCCTAATAATGCCTAATTTATAACTCCAACATGAGCAAACCATCTTCAGTTATATTAGGTTCATGTATGGTATAAGTGGTATAGTTCTACTGTTTTATTTTAATTTGCAAATTATTTTGGCTTTGCAATGATACAAGAATCATAAACATGTTCTAGAGAAGTGCCATACAACAGTGCGCCTATAGTTAACAATACTGTATTGTACACTTTAAAATATGCCACAGGGTGGGTTTCATGTTAAGTGTTCTTACCACAATTTAAAAAAGAATTATTAGTATGAAATGTTTACATATCTGGATTTCTATTTTGTAGACATGTAAGTAACATTGTAACAAAAACACTGCAACTCTCTAATACAAAAAGCAGCTTGCTGCACAATGCAGCCCCATATCCACACCAACCTACTGACCCTTCAAGCCAGCACCCATGCTTTCTTGGCACTCTGTATCTCATCAAAGGTGTCAAAATAGCTATTTCCTCTTGAGTATGAGCTTCTGCAGTTCCCCAGCTCCAATTCTTTATTTGGAAATAAGTCTTAAGAGAAACATATCTAGCATAGTGATATTGATTTGTAATCTCCTCAAATAGGCATTCACTTTAGATGACTACAAAAGCTAAGTAGAGTTCAAGAGCTCAAGACTAGCCTAAGCAACATAGTGAAACCCCATATCTTGAAAAGTATAAAAGTTAGCTGGGTGTGGTGGTGTGTGCACCTGTAGTCCCAGCTACTCAGGAGGCTGAGGTGGGAGAATTGCTTGAGCTTAGGAGGTCAAGGCTGCGTGAGCTGTGATCACACCACTGCACTCTGGCCTGGGTGACAAAGTGAGACTCTGTCTCAAAAAAAGTGCCAAATAAGGTATACACATGTGAAGTCCTCTGTGTCTCTTCTGTCTGCCTCAGCCTATAGACATCTATCTAAATAAACAGCTGTGGGCCATTGTGTTGTGCCCAGCATGTGGGTGGTATGATACTAAAGCATGTTTTAGAGCAGAAGAGGGGGGCTTTAAAGGGAGCTGCCACCCCTTCAAAATGCACTGACTCCGAAGCTTCCTACCCATTGTCAATAACACCTTCTCTCTCCAGTGAAAAGGAACTGGGGAGAAAAACAAAATCCAAGCAAAGAAGATATTCTACTCCCAATTTTAATAATAGTTATTATTTAATATATTTATTTTTAATAATTAGTATATTTTCTGTAATTAAATTTAATAATTTTGGCTTATTAACACCAAAGTCCTGGTTTGGTAGTGTAACTTGATTCTTTTCTGATCTTCATGACAGTGTCTACACAAGTAACTCATGCAACATGCTAGATCTTTTTAAGTAAGCATTTTGATTATTTTTGGTTCAATACTTTGGGTCTCTTCTTCTAAATCTTACATACTGATAATCACCTTTGTAAAGAAATGCTAACCCAAGGCAGGGCGCAGAGGCTTACACCTGTAATCCCAGCATTTTGGGAGGCCGAGGTGGGTGGATCACGAGGTCAGAAGTTCAAGACCAGCCTGGCCAGCATGGTGAAACCCCCATCTCTACGAAAAATACAAAAAGCAGCTGGGCATGCTGGCGTGCACCTGTAATCCCAGCTGCTTGGGAGGTTGAGGTAGGAGAATCGTTTGACCCTGGGAGGAGTAGGTTGCAGTGAGCCGAGATCACTACCCTCCAACCTGGGTGACAGAGCAAGACTCTATCTCCAAAAAGAAAAGAAATGCTAACCCGTAATTTCCAAAGGCAACTTGCTTTTGTGCAGAATGTTTTAGTTGTTATTTGATCATTGCAAATTATCTTCTGTAGCTATTGGATTAATGCTTTTCAAATAGCTAAAAGTCTGAAAACTAGTTCACGAGGTCTCTAAACTTAAGGAACAGAACCATCCTTTTAGAATAATGTGATTCATTAAGCAGTCAAATTCAGAAAAGGGCTCAGGGCTGTTCCTGCCAAGAAGTTGGTGATGACGTTTGGCAGGTGGCATACTCAAGATGTTTGTCTTTGTAATGTTGCAGAATTGCCTACCAGAGGAACGACGATGATGAAGAGGAGGCCGCCCGGGAACGGCGCCGCCGAGCCCGGCAGGAACGGCTGCGGCAGAAGCAGGAGGAAGAATCCTTGGGACAGGTGACCGACCAGGTGGAGGTGAATGCCCAGAACAGGTACTGTCCTCTTTGCGATAGGGAATTTCTAACTTGTGTCTCAGCCTGTCTGTTGAGTGGAATTTGTCAAGCAAAGCATTCCTTTCTCAGCCCAACTCAACCTTTTTCGGTCAATCTAACTTGTTTAATTATTTTGCGGTGTTTTAGGCAACGAATCTGATTGGATAGGCAATCTGGTTTAGACATTAGGACATACTGTTCTCTCTCCACCCCATTCCCATCTCATAAACATACCCCAGTTGAAGGCTTTTATTTCATCTTACAATCTAATATTTGCTTAATTTAATAAGTATGTGGCCTATATCTTTACATATATATGTTTGTTTAATTTTTTTGTAATTTCAATAGTTTGGGGGGAACACGTGGGGTTTTGGTTACATAGATAATAATAGTGATTTCTGATATTTTAGTGCACTCATCACCCAAGCAGTGTACACCATCCCCACTGTGTAGTATTTTATCCCTCACGCCCCCCTACCTTTCTCCCTGAGTCCCCAGAGTCCATTTTATTGTTTTTATACCTTTGCATCCCCATAACTTAGCTCCTACTTATAAGTGAGAACATACGATGTTTGGTTTTGGTTTTCCATTCCTGAGTTACTTCATCTAAATAATGGTCTCCAACTCTATCCAGGTTTCTGTGAATTCCTTTATTTTGCTCCTTTTTATGGCTGAATAATATTCCATGTTGTGTGTGTGTATACATTTTACATGCATTGTTACGCAGTTTGTGTGTGTGTATGTATATATAATGTATATATGTATATATATACATACACACAACATGGAATATAGATATAGATATATATCACATTTTCTTTACGCACTTGTTGGTTGATGGGCATTTAGGGTGCTTCCATATTTTTGCAATTGCAAATTCTGCTTCTATAAACATGTCTGTGCAAGTATCTTTTTCATATAATGACTTCTTTTCCTCTGGGTAGATACCCAGTAGTGGGATTGCTGGATCAAATGTAAGTTCTACTTTTACTTCTCTAAGGAATCTACATTGTTTTCTGGTGGGTTATATCTTTAAATAAGGAGAAGTATTTACATTTATTCTATAGGATATTGCTATCTGTTTGGAACTGAAGATGTGTTAGTTTAATAGAGTCCTCCATGCCCACCATTAACAGATACCACATGAATTTTTTAAGTGGGCATGAATTGCAGATGTCTTTTTTCTAACATGCAGCCCGAATCAATAGTCTCTGATCACCATAATATTCAACAAGATACAAAATTCTGGTTAATTTAATGTGATTATTCAAACACACTTAATGAGTTTGCTGTTACATTTTTTCTCACTCTGGCCCTGGTCGAAATCAGGGTTGTTGAGAATGACTAATAGGCTCAACTTCTTTAAAAAGGGCTTTTGCAGCAGAAATAAGGTTACACAGTTCATTATGCTAATGGTTAGTATATGTCATTTATATTGTCATTTATATGCCCCAAGGTCTAAAAAAGATGAGGATATATTTGAGGAGGAAAATGGAGAAAATAATTTCAATTTAAAACCATGGACTGATTATAATGGATACACTATATAAGATCTCACATGTGGTTTTGGTTTTAGATTGTTTTATTTTGTTTAATTCAGTCTATTTAGAAAATGCTGAAGGGAATGGGGCCTGGCCTCCTTAACCCAAGTATGAGAGGCTGTATTAGAAGGTTTCTGAAAGCAGTCTTGAAAATGTTGGCAGGCAGCACAGATATTGGTGACCTTTTCCCTTGGAAAGTAGCTCTAACTGGGGAGTAAGTAGAGCAAAGGGGAAATAGGTACGATCTCTAGGGTTCACTAACTGACTTTGACTCCAACTTGACCTTTCACTAACTGATGTCTTCACTTAAATGGAAATAAAAATTATACCTTTCTCCCAAAAATTCTGCTAAACTTAAGCTATGTAACACTGCATGTAAAATGCAGAGTGTCTTACACATAGTAAGCACTCAATAAATTTTCACTGTTACCAGATGCTTAACACTGGGGGGCAACATAGTCATTCCCTACCTTTTCTATTTTCAAGCTGAGAGAGAAAGAATATAAAGAGTTTTAAAAATGGCATTTTGATGCCTTTCCTGAACCTTGGTTATTAATGGGTGGTCAACGGTCAACAGGGGCTTAGAAAGTTACCGGTGGTCCGTAGTTTTCTTGCTTTTAAAATCTTGCTTCTCCTTGTCCTTCTCTTCTCATATTTGGCTATTATTCATTATTTCATGGTATTGATTGAATTCAAATTCTTTTTTTTTTTTTTTTTTTTTTTTTTTTTTAAGCATAAGAAGACTTTAATCTGGCTAGCACTTTGGAATTTTGGTGCCTTTTAAAAATTATTAGAATTCAGTTGATCCAAATGCCCTCTCTATAGACTTCCCCTTAAATTATAAATTTTTTGCATTTGTAGGGACATTTAATCCTCACATGTCTAATTCACGGAGGCAGTATCCTGTAGCAAAAGTAAAAGCCAAGAAAGTTTTAAAGCTAGTTTTTACTCTGCCATTTTTTATCGTTAAATATGAAATGTGTTTTTCCAAAATTAAGTGAACTTGAACTTCAAAAGGGCCAAGTTTGGTCTGAACTATGAAATTTGATGGAGTTTCTAAACACTGCAAGACAAATTCTTCCAACTCTGGTCACAGTTCTGGTATCACATGACTGGGTGTTTCCTACAAGTAGGAACCAACACCCCCGACTTGGACAGTGTCCAGCGTCCTGCAACAGCGAGGGAGGTGATGGACAACAGTTTAATTTTTAGAGATTTTCTTTTCTTTGTAAAATAAATGTCAAATGTACCTGCCCTTTGTCCACTGTAGAAAAGATAGACAAGAAGCCCTTTATTCATGGAAATCTTGACAAAGAAGGTAGACTGTGTAAACATTCATTGGGGTAATACTGGCTGCTATAAAGATTAGTGCCCCCCAATTTTAAGTTTAGTGCAGTAACACTTACATTATGCATATTTCTGTCTAGTAGGTGGAACCAGCTGCCTGTCTTCTTTTGTCTTGTGACTCTCAAAACCTAGGGCTTGGCTCTCACTGATCTACCAGCAGACAGAGAGAAGACAGAGAATGCACCTCTGTTTGTTCATTGCCTTGGCTGGACATTTCTGTTTACAATTCATTGGAAGTTATTGGTCGCATGGCCCCAACTAGGTACAAAGAAAGGAGAAGGTGGAAATTTAATCCTTGAGTGGTAATCACTACCCCTGACTATGGGAGGAGGAACAGGAATTGTAAGGGACACTTAGATGTCTCTTCCCTTGGGGTCATTGGCATGAGTGTGGAATCTCAACACTGTCATGTACATTTTCTTCCTCTCAAAGTGCCTTGGGACCCTCCAATCCAGATCAGGAATTCTAGATGACCGAATGACATGTGAGAATACTACCTGACACCAAACGAATTCACTTATTATTTCAGTTTGGTCCTTAAGTTTGAATTCCCCAAGAAGCAGTCCAGAAACAAAGATCTGACTGCTAGTATTTATTTGTAAGGTGATCCTAGGAAACGCTGGTGGGGCTGTGGGAAGGTGAGACACAAAAGGGAAGTCCACCAAATAAAGTTTGTATTACCAAGCATGTCACCACTGTGGGTGTCTGGAGCTTCACTCCACTGGGAAACTCTGAGATCCAGTGTGGAACACACACCTCGGAATTATCCAACTCAAAAAGTGAGGGGTGCTGAGGTATTGAAACACTAGGGCTTGTCTATTTTTGTTTGAAAGCTGCTTCCAGGGGACATTTCATACCCAAGCCACGTCTGGCATGTTGAGTAGACTCCAGTGCCCAGAGAAAGGCTAGCACATGCTGTCAGCTGAAAGCCAGGCAGGCATGTACTAAAATGGTAATGGGCTGGGGATATGGACGAGCTTGGCACCTGCTGTAGTCCTGGGTGGCACAGGCCGTATGGATGCTGCTGACTGATGAATGAACAAGCTGTCTTTGGTGGTGTTCTTTCTGTCGTACAGTGTGCCCAACGAGGAGGCCAAGACAACCACCGCAAACACTCAAGTGGAAGGGGATGATGAGGCCGCATTCCTGGAGCGCCTGGCTCGGCGAGAGGAAAGACGCCAAAAACGCCTTCAGGAGGCTCTGGAGCGGCAGAAGGAGTTTGACCCAACAATAACAGATGCAAGTCTGTCGCTCCCAAGCAGAAGAATGCAAAATGACACAGCAGAAAATGAAACCGCAGAGAAGGAAGAAAAAAGTGAAAGTCGCCAAGAAAGATACGAGATAGAGGAATCAGAAACAATCACCAAGTCCTACCAGAAGAATGATTGGAGGGATGCTGATGAAAACAAGAAGAACGACAAGGAAAAGGAGGAGGAGGAGGAAGAGAAATCAAAGCGAGGGAGCACTGGAGAAAATCAGGTAGAGGTGATGGTAGAAGAGAAAACAACTGAAAGCCAGGAGGAAACGGTGGTAATGGCATTAAAAAATGGGCAGGTCAGTTCAGAAGAGCCTCAGCCAGAGGAGGAGAGGGAACAAGGTTCAGATGAGAGTCCCCGTCATGAAAAGGTAGAAGAGGAAGACAGGGAAAGAGCTGAGGCAGAGACGGTAAGGTTGGAAGCAGAAGAAAGAGAAAGAATTAAAGCTGAGCAAGACAAAAAGATAGCAGATGAACGTGCAAGAATTGAAGCAGAAGAAAAAGCAGCTGCCCAAGAAAGAGAAAGGAGAGAAGAGGAGAGGGAAAGGATGAGAGAGGAAGAGAAAAGGGCAGCAGAGGAGAGGCAGAGGGTAAAGGAGGAAGAGAAAAGGGCAGCAGAGGAGAGGCAGAGGATAAAGGAGGAAGAGAAAAGGGCAGCAGAGGAGAGGCAGAGGGCCAGGGCAGAGGAGGAAGAGAAAGCTAAGATAGAAGAGCAGAAACGTAACAAGCAGCTAGAAGAGAAAAAAAATGCCACACAAGAGACAAAGATAAAAGGGGAAAAGGTAAAAGTGAAAATAGAAGGGAAATGGGTAAATGAAAAGAAAGTGCAAGAAGATAAACTTCAGACAGCTGTCCCAAAGAAACAGGTACAGTAAACATTTTGCACCATATGTGTGATGCCTGTGACTTGTGAGAAATGTAATGCACATCCAATTTGGGACTGAGGCCACATGCATATAGCGCACGTGCTTGGTCATTTGGCAAGCTATTCATTTTTTCAGGCCATAGCAATACGCAAGCATGCAGCAATTGATTGATGGCTGAATAGTCAATCAACCAAATTTACTGGGACAGCCAGTAAATTTGGCTGTCAAAAGACAGAGAGAAATTCATTGCTCTGTGCTTGACTTTTATGAATTCCAAAAAGAAAAAAATTAATCTAAAGACGATAAATGTGGTGGTGCTGTGTTGGTTTCTGATTCTACGCCTGCATCTAAAATCATTCTTTTAAATATCTTTCCTCTATCCATAGGTCTGCATGAGGCAAGAGGCCCGTGACTCCTTACCTCACTCATGGGCTTGACATTGAATAAAAAAATATAAAAGCTGGGGTGGGAAATAGACATGAAGTATAATGGTCAGACATTTCATCTTAAGAAGGCAAAACAAACCCCTGGAAATTAACTGGTAATAAAGAAGGGAAAGGAAGTGGATGGAACCTTTCCTTAAAAAAAAAAAAGTCAAAACCCTGATTTGCCAACATGTAGACCTCAGCTTAATGCAGACTTGCAGAAAGCCATTAATTTAGGGTAGTATCAATTTATAACTGACTGGTAATTAAGAGCATACATATTGTTCTTTATTACCTGGGTGACATAAATTCACGTGGCTTGAGGAAGGGTGGAAATAGTAGGGGGGAAATGTTTGTAAGCTTTGAGAAAGATGTTTTTACTGTCTGCAAGGCTGCATTAGAAGCACTGTACCTAATAAACACCACACCACCACCATCCCTAAAAAAAAGAAAAAAAGAGATGCTTGCACATTCACCTCTCCAGAGCAAATTCTCTGTCACTAAGTCTGCAATGCACTGAAGTTGTCTTTTAACTCCTGCTTCTATACAAGAGGCTCGTCAACACAGCTATAGTTGAGATCATGAGCAGCGTGCACCAAATCACACATGAGGTTTGTAAACATACACAAGGAGTGCCACACCATGCTAGATTTCAGTGAGCACAATGGCAGGCACACAAGATGTTGGGGTGGGAAGAAAGTATCCCACCTTGCTGTTTAGAACCACTGTGCTGTGAGCGCTGAGACAGAAGAGAAGCCATCCCACGCACTTGCAAGGCGATCCGAGCACCCTCTCACTCTTGTCAATTAGAAAGGTTTTCTTTTACTTGTATGACCTTACCATTCTTGAAAATAAAAAGGGAGAAGAAAAGGGAGCTAAAAGAGAAAAGTTTCAAGAAGACAAGCCTACCTTCAAAAAAGAAGAGGTAACTGTGATTGAGAAGTAATTATCCTAAAGCAATAGAAAAAGCAGGCAGTATTCCATGACATCTCAGGTCTGACAGTCTCAAAATTGTAACCTCTTATCCAGTGTATTTCAAGCCATGACTCACAATCCATTGAATAGTGAGATCCAGTTAGAATGTCTCAAAATTAAGTCAATGTATCAGTCAGCATTTGTTTAAAAAATGAAATGGACATAAGGCATCAGAGGGCATTGTAGGTAGTAAGTATTGCATTATCATGTAAATTGTCTCTTTTTCTGTGGGACGCCATCAGAAAGGCTTGAAAAACACTGCTGGAATCAATTTATCCTGCTTTCTGTTCTTCTGAATGCTAATTTTTTTTTTCCTTGAGCCATTCTACTTTCATTTCAATCATGAAATAATTCCAACTGGCCTTGATTAATGCTTTAACTTTTCAAAGGAAAAACACCCACACACATCTCAGTAGAAAATTGGTGAACTGAAGGTGATATTTGGTTTTCAAAAGGGAAGTTTGGCCAAATGTTCTGCATTGCATTTCTGAGGCACACATGGGAGTGGGTGCCAGGGTGTTTGACTGTAGGTAAGTGAACAAGGAGCTATACGGAGAGAATGGCATGGGGTTTGACAGTAATCAGAGTGCCACATCGGAACACCTGATTGCAAGTCGACTCTCATGCTGTGTTTACCTCAAATAATCTTAAAATTTTTGACTATACTAAAATTTTGAATAAATTCACAATACTTATTAGAACGTGGTGAAACTGAATCATCAGAAGTAGGAAGACCCAAAGTTCTTCGCCTCTGAGACTGGTGAAGTGCTTTGTAGCCAGAAAGCTCCAACCCCATTAGGCTGTTGCTACATTTCTCTGCCTATCATGGCATCTACTAAGAAAACTCAAAATCTTTTTTTTTTTTTTTTTTTTTTTTGAGACAGAGTCTTGCTCTGTTGCCAGGCTGGAGTGCAGTGGCGCAATCTTGGCTCACTGCAATCTTTGCTTCCCAGGTTCAAGTGATTCTCCTGCCTCAGCCTCCCAAGTAGCTGGGATTACAGGCATGTACCACATCCAGCTAATTTTTGTATTTTTTAGTAGAGTTGGGGTTTCACCATGCTGGCCAGGATGGTCTCTATCTCCTGACCTGTGACCTGCCTGCCTCAGCTTCCCAAAGTGCTGAGATTACAGGCGTGAGCCACCATGCCTGGCCAGAAAACTCAAAATCTTAAACAGAGAAATCCGTATTTAGAAAACAGATGACCAGATTAAATAGGGGGTAGGTTATTTTCTTAACTATGTTTTGTAAATTTCACATGAAAAATGAAAACCCGTAGTTCATGTTATATACTACATTTCTGTTAAGATGTATGTTCCTCTCTGTTTCTAATAGAAGTTGTGGTGGTTTGGAAGGGAAAATTGAATATGAGCACAGACCATGTAAAGGAAGGAGAAAGTGTAAATGCTAATAACAGGAAAACTGAATTTAGCTCTCATGGGGTATTCAAGGAAATCATTGAACATGCTGGGAAACACTTTACACTTTGTGAACAAATACCTACAAATTCATTTACAAAAAGTGAGAAATGAAAGTTACCTTGGAACTAAACTCAAACCGAAATATGTCCCACATGGGTTCTCGAAGTGTTTCTTGGTAAATGTCTTTATAGAAAGTGGGCATGATTCAGTAATTAAACGTGTGGGGGAAGAGAGGCTGTGGAAAACACTGGATTCTATATTTATAATTTCATTCAATTCACTAAAATGGGATTTGTTTGTCCTGACCAAACTTTCTATACCTATGTATAGTGTCTGAGAATTAAAAGGGCCCATCAGTTGCCACTGGGATGATCCTTTTGCCTCTTTTCAGATAAGGCCCTAGTTCAACAGCGTCCTTGGTGTCCATCAGATACTCCCAGGAATGACTGAGCCCTGCCCGTTTCCCAAGTTGCCCTTCAGCACATTCCAGCCAGTTCCAAAAACTTTGACCTGTTTTTGACACAACACCAGATAAGCCACTCAAACCAGGATTAAAAGAAAAGAAAACCCAAATCGATATTCCTATTTTAACACCGTGTAAATAATCTACTGGTCGAAAGACTAGGTTTTCCCCTTTCCAGCTGTTTCTTTATGTAGTCAGCCTAAATCACGTTTACATGATTCAGCCATTTTAAACAACCTCTTCCATTTTTTTTTCCTTTTTGTTCAAAAAAGAAAGAAAGAGAACAACTAACTAAAACCTTTCCTGTCAAGGATTTGTGCACCATAGGATAGAGCAACACAAGTAAACACAAATATCACATGAGCCTTCTTAGAGAAAACATTTCCAGAAATCACTCCGATGTCTTAGAAAACACACACACAAAATCTTTCTCCACTGCAGTTTAACTGTGGCAGTGAGTCACAAATGATCACCAACATTGAAACTTAATTTAGCTTTCTTTCTTTCCTCTCCAGTTATAAAAAGTCTCTTTTTAGTTCTTCATGCAGGAGCTGTTTTATTTGTTTTCTGGCCTCTAACAGAAAAACAGTTTCTAGCAGAGATGCTCCTGAGGTATTGGAAAGTGATGTTCATGTCATGCGGACCAATCCTTCCCAAACATAAGTGTGCATGCAAATCACCTGGGAGTCTTGTGAAATGCAGAATCTGATTCCATGAGGTTCATGGACCAAACTTTCAATAGCAAGGAGTCTAGAAGACGTCCATGTTATAGAAATTGAACCCAGGAAAGGATCTGGGGCTTATGAAGCACGTTAAATCCAGCCTGAGAAACCCTAGCTGCACCCGGCGCTTGTTGCTACTCTGGAACCAAATAATGCGAAACATGCTTGAGACACATCTCAGTCCTTGGTCGCTTAACTTTCTGAATGTGTCTGGCACAAGGACCTGTCATTTGAATTCCCATCCCCCACCCCATTCCCATGTGTTATTGTACTGGATATCCCAAGTATCTAGAGTTTAACTCAAATGAGCACATTTGGCCAGAGCCTTTCTTATGAGTATGCTAATGTTATCTGTGTATCATGCACACAAACTTTCAGGATACCTGGCTACCTGTGAATCCTTCAGCACAGACATTCTCCATGGTACCATTCTAACCTGTAAGATCTAATGCCTTTCCCAGGGGGCTCAGAATCCCATGAGTTTACGTTAAATCTGCCATAACATCCAAAAATAAATGTAAAGGCTCTATGGAATTACTTTATTCATTTCCCAGAAAGAGAAAATAATTTTCAGTTGAACTCAAATCATCATTATTACGTTGACAATGTTTCTCAGAAGGTTTTCCGAAAAGAACATAAGTCTACCATCCACAATAGCCTTTGCCAATAAAGGCATAGCATGAAAAAAGGTAATTTTTCTTCCGTTAGACATACACTGTTTTACAAATCTACTTTAAACACTTTGGGGACCAGTAAATCAGATATAATAAATTTGGGGAGAATGGAAATTTTTCTGACTGCAAAATAGGAGAAAGCTAAAGGGAAGGTCTGCATACGTAGCACTCCACAGGCCGTGAGATCCTACTCAGAATTTGTCTCATGGTTATCTCTAAAATAGGTTTCCCTCACATTTGTAGCCACAGATACTTCTTAACCAAACATCAACTCCAGTCCATGGTTTCTGGGGCTAAGTCTAACAGTGTAGGCCAAAATGAGAATATATTTTGCTTCATCCTTCCTGTCCAATGAATACTGATGCATTTATTCTTGGGCAAGGACAGCCATCAGGGAGCCACAGTGAGGCTGTCATTCAGGCCATGAGCTTGCTCCTTTTTTCTGTAGCCTCTCATGACCCATGAGGAGCCGAGAGGGAAATGACAGGATGAAAAATTCAGAAGGAATCATCTGGTCCAAACACATCTTTTTACATATGTGGGACCAGCATCCCAGAGCAGTCAGGTGATTTGGCCAAGTTACATAACTAGTTATCAGCTCTGGAGCCAAAAGTCACATTTCCTGATTTGCAGACAAAGCTCTTGGAGAGAATGGCAAGGCCCAGCCCTCCTTTTCCGTGTGTCTGAGGGACATCCTAGGTATATACCCCAAGGTGAAAGATTGAAGTCTTAACTAATTAGGGCAGCATAGTAGCGAATTTCTAGTAATTAATCAGCTAATACCCAAAGAAGACAAACAAAGGGCTTAAAACTCATCAGTAAAGACCAAAAACCTGTGCTCTTCTTTGCAAAACATGCAGTTTAGGTCAAGCATAGTGGCCCACGCCTATAATCCTAGCACTTTGGGAGGCCAAACCTGGCAGATCACTTGAGGTCAGGAGTTCGCGACCAGCTTGGCCAACATAGTGAAACCTGGTCTCTACTAAAAATACAGAAATTAGCTGGGCGTGGTGGCTCATGCCTGTAATCCCAGCTATTCAGGAGGCTGAGGCAGGAGAATTGCTTGAACCTGGGAGGCAGAGGTTGCAGTGAGCCAAGATCGCACCATTGCAATCCATCCTGGGCAACAGAGCAAGACTCTGTCTCAAAAATAAGAAATGAAAAATACACTTTAGAAGTAAATCTTCAGAGACTATCTGAAGAATAAGTGGGAAGGAGTGAGTGATCAGGTCACGGTAGAATGTCCTAGGCAGCAGCACCTAAAGTCCCGAGTCCTGAGTCCTGAATCCTTATGGCCTTCCTTTCCTCTGTGGGTTTCTTTAGAATGCTCATGCATTGTAACTGTCTTGAAAAGAACCATTGTGAATGCACCTCACCTGTTTTCACACTCATCTTTTAAGAATGGATAAGATAATATGATTGAAGTAATTTGAACTCCTTTACCCCCTCCCCCACAAAAAGCTATGTAAATTCAGCTTACTTTTAAATACTCTTATTTACTGTAAGAAACACAAACCCACAAGATATGAAAGCTAACACCTGCCCACCATATATCACCTTCCCATGTCTCCCACAGCAATCATAAAACTACTTCCAGAGTACTAAATTTTTACTGACAATGGAAATCAAGGGAAACCCTGGAATTTCTCCTATTCCATTCTAACTTTAATGGTTTAGATGACTACAAACATGGTCTCACAGATCCCAAATATGCCATTGAATCCTCCTACTAAAGGTAGCGTTATTAAGTGTCCCAACCTTGGGACCAAATTTACTTGTTGATTAAAATGCTGGTCTTTGCCAGAAATGGCTTGGAAGATCTAGCTAAACTGGTAGGTTTCCTCTTCTTTCTTTCACATTTGTGTCTTTCTCACAGATTCTCTCTCCATCCAAGAAGAAACCTGTCCAGGCAACCTGGCCATTCTTCATCAAAGCCAGCCTACTAATTGCTCTTCCCAGGGGGAACTGCAAACATCTACTTTTACATGAAGTTCCCAGAACTTAATGGTTTCCAAACAATAGTACTACCACTGCTCTTGAAAGTAAAAACCTCAGTGAGATCAGGAATGATCTTGCCTTCTTAAAATTGTGGTAAAGGTGTTTGTTCACAGGCTAAAGGACCATAGCTCATTCTCTAAGAATTTCCCCTGATTTCAACTCTACCACATCTGAGTGGTTTCTGAGTTTCCTGCCTTCCTAACAAGTCTGGGTCTTATTTGGCGATACCAACCAAAATCCTAATAAGATTTTCTTGTTCTGTTCCTTCCTGATATGTACTGTTGGTTAGAACAAAGATGAAAAGATTAAAAAGGACAAAGAACCCAAAGAAGAAGCTAAGAGCTTCCTGGATCGGAAGAAAGGATTTACAGAAGTTAAGTCACAGAATGGAGAATTCATGACCCACAAACTTAAACATACAGAGAATACTTTCAGGTAAGAAGTAGCAACTAGTTCATAGCAACTGTTCATATGCAAAAAAAAAAAAAGTCTTCTCATCCTTTGCCACCAGACAGAAACGTGCTAAACAGGCAGCATGCTTTTGTTGTGAGGTCATTTGTCATTGTCTTAGAGATGCTCACTCAGCAGGTCCGGTTCCCATATCACTAACAGAAGCCCCGCAGTCACCACTCAGACAGGGCTTAATCTGCTTTTCCCATTATTTTTAAAGGCAGATCATGTTTGGCATCCATGGTTTTTTTCACTGACCTCATGTGAGATGAGTGTATTAGAAAACATTATGACTGGGATTCATATCGTTCAATGATTCTCTCTATGGTCTGACCACCTTCATAAGAGACGCTTCTCAGTACCATTTTCAAGAATGCATTTTCTAAAGGTTGTATATAAATACTGCATAAGACTAAGATTGTTTTGTGGCCAAATACTTGGGAAACATTAGGTAAAGCTCAATTCATCAGATTTCTTTACCACAGGACTTTGAGAGTCCTTCATGTTCCTTTGCATTGGAAGTCTCTAAGAGGGTGTGAGAGGGTATGGACCTGCTGCTCTATTTCATACAGTTTGACAAAACTCTCTTGTAGAGCTTGAGCTTTCCCTTCAACATAATCCCCTACCCCATCACATTGAAAATCTCGGCAACATTATCAGACAGACTAGATGAGTATGTCCATGTAAATCCTCATTTCTAAATACAGTCAAATTCTCAGAGCTCTAACAATTTTGTAGAAGAACTTGAGGTGCAGACACTGAGCTGGCCACGTGATTCCTGTGCTCCTTTCCCACAAAACACTCCCTCCAACTACTGGGGCCAAATCCCAACGTCTGTTACCTCACTGGCCGCTGTGCCAGATGTGCCGAAGAAGAGTCTTGGGTCCCTGCCATGTGGATTTCCCTGGGCTTGTTCCTTGGCTGCAGCCTTGTCTATAGAGCCCGTTTTTCTGAGCACTTCAAATAAGAAAGTCACCAAGTAGATATGTGGGAGAAGTCTGACATGCTTCTTATACCAAAGCCTTCGTAATATTCAAAGCAGGTGGAGCTGCTGGGGATGGACATTTCAGGTGCATCCAAGAGGCTAAGATGGATAAATACAGTTGCCCAAAACAATTTTTCTATAGAAAAATTTGAACAGAAACTGACTCATATTTATCTAAAGGAGAACCTAAAGCAGACAGGTATACATAAACGCTATAAATAAAAAGATGAAGGTGTAAGAAAGGTGGAATCTATAACTATTACTTGGGATTGCCAAGAGAACAATGTTAAAATTACGTTTATTGAACATTCACAGAAAACCTACAAAGCAAGTGATTCAGGTTAGTAAGTTGAGTCTAAAACTTGCTGAAGTGCCTGAAGTTTAATATTTTAAAGCTCTGGAATAGTGTCAGGTCCATGAAAAGTGTTCAGTGAATGTTACCTAATATTGCTATTTTTTAATTAATAGTTTAAAATATGTCTTATAGGCATAAGGTTTTTTTAAGGTCTAAGTTCTGTTTTTGTTGAGAGGAATGTTTAAAAAATCTGTCAGTAGAAAAAGGCTGTTTAACAATTAGCAAACTTGCCAACAAGCTTCAGTCAAAGCTCAAATTAATAATTAACATGCCTATTGTGTAGAAATCCAAAGAGCTGGGTAATTTGAAGGGAGAAATAGTCACAGGAGATGGTGACAAGTTGAATGCTAAGAATCCTTAAATGTGACTGGCCTTAATTTTTCTATTTTGGGCAGGAAAAAAATACAGGAACAAGCTGCTACCATATTATTTATTTTAGTTTAGCCACCAATGTATGTGAGTTTTAGTTTCAAGTTCATGCTGATAGAAGCAGGGAAGTACAATTCTGCTCAATATACATATAAAATGAGGAGAGAGGAAGACAGTATCAGCCTTTATTTAGATAAGTTTAGTACCTATCAGCTTAACTGAAAACAAGCTGCATTCTTTTTTTTTTTTTTGGGGGCGGTTTTTCGTTGTTGTCACCAGGGCGGGAGTGAAAGGCGCGATCTCAGCTCACCGCAACCTCCGCCTCCCGGGTTC